TTTCGATTGCACCGGACCCTAACATGGCTCTTTTCTCCAACCGTGGCAGAGGCAGGAGATCCAGAGCCAAGAACAATTACGGCTCATCAGCAAATACTCGTAACAATCCTTTTGCTAACGTCATATGTCAAATCTGCGCCAAGAAGGGTCACTCGGCACACTCATGCTGGCATCGCACAGATCTTAAATATGTTGCTCAGTCCAAGATTGCGAACCCGGCGTTACTTACAACTTCGGACACCGCTGATGTCAACTGGTTCCTGGACTCCGGAGCGTCTTCCCATCTAACTAACTCCTTAGAACATATGTCCATGGTTCAGCCATATCAAGGATCCGAAGCTGTTATGGTTGGTGATGGAAACGCAGTCAGTATCGCACACTCAGGGGCGGGCATTCTCCCGACCCCCTCTCGTAAGCTGCGACTTTCCAAAATTTTTCACACCCCATCTCTTAAGTTCAATCTTTTATCTATTTCTCAACTAACCGAAGATAATCAAATATCCATCACTTTTGATCCTAATGGTTTTGTCTTAAAGGATCTAGCGACGCAGGATATCATTCTTCGCGGACCGTCCAATGATGGCCTCTACGCCATTCCGATGAAGCCTCAAGTTCGTCTACACCCAGCGCTCACTACAAATCGGGAGTCTTCCCAGCGTTGGCATCAACGCTTGGGTCACCCACATAAAAGTGTTTTTGATTTGATTTCATCTTGTAATCCTTTGCTGCATATGAATAAGCAGCAGCATAAATGTGAAATTTGCTCTGCCTCTAAATGTCACAAAAATGTTTTCTCTAGTTCTCTGAACAGGCAATCTCAACCGCTTGCCCTCATTCACAGCGATGTATGGGGTCCGGCCCCAACCGTCTCTGCTCAGGGATTCAGATTTTATGTGATTTTTGTCAATGACTACACTCGGTTTACTTGGGTTTTTCCACTATGTTTTAAATCTGATGTTTTCTCTACGTTTGTTCATTTTAAAACTAAAATTGAAAATCTCACCTCTCATAGTATTAAAACATTACGCACAGATGGTGGATCCGAGTACGTCAATTCCGACTTCAAACACTTTCTCATTAAACACGGGATCACGCATCAGCTTTCGTGTCCTTACACTCCGGAGCAGAATGGTCTCGCCGAGCGTAAACACAGACACATCATTGAAACAACAAAATCTCTGCTCCTAACGGCGTCCATGCCACCTTCATTTTGGCCAGATGCGGTTGCTACTGCGGTTTATTTAATTAACAGGATGCCTTCTAACACTACTCAAAATCTTTCTCCTCTTGAACTTCTGTTTCACAGAAAACCGGATTATCAAGATCTAAAGGTTTTTGGTTGCAAGTGTTACCCTCTATCACCTGCTCACACTAGGAACAAATTGATGCCAAATGCTCAGCCGTGTCTGTTTCTCGGATATTCGGATACTCACAAAGGGTATCGATGTCTTAATCTTCAAACGAATAAAGTAACTGTTTCTCGACATGTTAATTTTCATGAAGATATTTTCCCGTTTGCACTCTTATCATCTCCTTCTACTACATATTCACCTGATGTTATGCCCAGGCTACTAATACCTGCATCTGCAAAACAAACTAATGCTATAACTAAGCCAATGCAGGTCTATCCTCCCTCTGCTCCGTTACATTGTTCTCAAATCCCTCCTACACCTTCCGCTCCAATTTTACAGAGACAGCAAACATCGGATGAACTCCAGGCCGTGGCACCAACCTCAGCTCCCTGTCATCCTATGACTACTCGCAGCAAAACGGGTTCCTTATGCCAACCAAACAGGTTAAATCTGTTTTCCAACCCGTCTTCAACGTCTACAGATCCTACCACTTACACGGTGGCCTCCAAAAGTCCACATTGGCGACAAGCCATGGCCGAGGAAATTTTTGCTCTGCAAAAACAGGGAACCTGGCACTTGATAGAACCACCCAAAAATGCTTCTATTCTTGGATCCAAGTGGACATATAGAACCAAATACCATACTGATGGGTCAATAGCTAAATACAAAGCTCGGTTGGTAGCACAAGGGAACAATCAAGAATTCGGTATTGACTACACCGAGACATTTAGTCCAGTAGTCAAACTACCAACGATCCGTATCCTTCTAACAGTCGCTCTCCACAAGAATTGGCCAGTTCAACAATTGGATGTGGCGAATGCGTTTCTTCACGGTTCCTTGTCCGAGACAGTTTACATGACCCAGCCAAAGGGATTTGAAGATCGCTCCCGTCCTCATTACGTTTGCAAACTGGACAAGGCGATCTACGGGCTGAAGCAGGCACCGAGGCAATGGTACAATACATTCACTTCGTTTCTACTGACTCTCGGTTTTCTTCACAGTCAGGCGGATCCCTCGCTTCTAATTTTTAATAAAGACGGCGCTCAAATTTTTCTCTTAATCTACGTTGACGACATTCTCATTACCGGTTCAGATTTGTCTCAAATTCAACACACCATTTCTCAGCTCAGTAAAGCTTTTACCATGAAGCACCTTGGGGAGGTACATGAGTTTCTCGGTATTAATATTCATAAAACTAACAACTCATTCTTTCTTTCTCAGGCAAAATACGCGGCGAGCATCCTTGATCAAGCAAACATGCTGCAATGCAATCCTCTTGCAAACCCAACATGTACTAAGATGCCAACTGAATTCAAAACCGAGACTCAGCAAGATCCCGTTTGCTATCGTCGACTCATCGGCTCGTTACAATATCTTACTTTAACACGACCGGACCTTTCCTATAGCATTAATCTTCTCTCACAATATATGCATGATCCTTTACCGTCGCATTTTTATCTCCTCAAACGCTTACTTAGATATATCAAAGGAACATTAGACTATGGCTTGCCAATAATTAGATCTAACTTAATCTTAAAATCATTTTCAGATGCGGATTGGGCCGGAGATCCAATCACACGGCGATCTACCTCCGGCTACTGCTCATTTCTCGGCGACACGATTGTATCCTGGACGGTGAAGAAACAGCGAACGGTCTCACGGTCGTCCACCGAATCAGAGTACAGAGCTCTTGCGGCCTTGACATCGGATATAGTTTGGCTCAGGCGATTACTTTTGGATTTTGGCATACCTCAAGACTATCCTACCGATCTTCATTGCGATAATATGTCGGCGATAGCACTTGCTAATAATCCAATGTTTCACTCTCGCACCAAACATATCGAGATTGATCAAAAGTTCTTGAGAGATCATATTCAACAAACAAACATACGGCTTCTACCCATAAGTACAACAGATCAAGTTGCTGACATCTTCACGAAACCTCTCTCTACTCCGCGGTTTGTTTTTCTTCGTGACAAATTAACGGTGTCCAAGGACCCAACAATTTGACGGGGGGTTTTAGAATATATATGTTAGCTTTATTACTTATGGGTAA